TAATTTAGTCTTGAGATACTTTCCAGAAGCTTAATGGAAAATGAATTTTTTACCCTCTTTATCTGCTTATAAGTCATTTAACCAAATATCACATAGCCCCTTTTATGTTCTAGATATTACTTCAGGAGCAGATGCAGATAATAGGAAATAGTGACAGATATAATAGGCACATAAAACAAGTATATAGCATGCTTAGAAGAAAAATCAAATATGTCACTATTTTACTTTAAAAAAAAACAAGCTGAGGGGGCTGGGGTTATGGCTCAGTGGTAGAGTACTTGCCTAGCATGTATGAGGCACTGGGTTCGATTCTTAGCACAATAAATAAATAAATGTCCATCAACAACTAAAATATATATTAAAAAAACAACAAACTGGGCTGGGATTGTGGCTCAGTGGCAGCGTGCTTGCCTAGCAAATATGAGGCACCAGATTCAAGCCTCAGCACCACATAACAAATAAAATAAAGGCATTCTGTCCATCTACAACTACCAAAAAAGAAAAAGAAAAAAACAACAAACTGAGTTTAGGAAAAGAAAGTCTGAGAAAAATAAAAAGCAGTTCATTTGCCTCATGGGTGTTTAATCAATCAAAAGAGTAGGTGTTATCTGTAACTTTAATATACACCAAGAAAAATGACTTGGTGGTGGACAAAAGTAATAGTCCAGGACAGGGGAACTCAGTTTCCTTACATTCTGCTCCCAACTAATTAACCCCTCTGTTGGAGTCATGTGATGAACTTTTTTTCTTTTTTGTTTTTTGAGATATTGGAAATTGAACCCAGGGGCACTCTATTGCTGAGCTACATCCCCAGCCCTTTTTATTTATTTATTTATTTTATTTTGGGACAGGATATTGCTAAGTAACCCAGGCTGACCTTGAATTTGTGATCCTCCTGCCTCAGCCTCCTGAGTCACTGGGATTACAGGTGTGTACCACTGATTGACCTTGGGCAGGTAGGGTCTTGTCTTAATTGTCTACCTCAGAGGACTGTGAGATAAATTGTTAGATGTAAAACATTTACCCAGTGATGTCTGGCCCATAACACTATTCATTAAGTAATGGTGGTAGTCATTATTTATAGTTTTAAACTATCTTAAGTGCATTATTTGAGAAATTAATATTCTAGTCTTGATGTGTTTTTAATTTTTGTATCTGTGAATCTGTGTTTTTCTCACTTTACCTACCATTCTTTACCCAAAATTACATGTGCCTTTCAAATCACAACTAAATGTAGTAAGGACTCATTAATCTGGTATTGTTCAAGGGAAAAAGAATGTTTGACAAAAGTGAAGCATCTTCCTAAGCCATAAACTTTTGTTTATTGTTTTCTTTATCTTCTTCCTCCTCTCCCCACCCCCTCCTCCTCCTCCTCCCCCTCTTTTTTTTTTTTTTTTTTTTTTTTTTTTGGTGTATGTGTTTTTTGCAAGGGGTTCTCCGCACATTGTCCTTGCTGGTCTCCAAGTTCGTGGGCTCAATGAACTTCATGCCTTAGCCTCCCAAGTAACTGGGACTATAGGCTAAGCCAGGCTTAAGTTTGGTATTAAATATTTTGTCTTTTAAAAACCACTGTATCCAGGCTAGGGATGTGGCTCAAGCGGTAGCGCGCTCGCCTGGCATGCATGCGGCGGGGTTTGATCCTCAGCGCCACATACAAACAAAGATATTGTGTCCGCCGAAAAACTAAAAAGTAAATATTAAAATTCTCTCTCTCTCTTCTTTTAAAAAAAAAAAAGAACACTGTATCACATAGTTTTCTATCTTTGTAGAACACAAATTCTAAACACTAATTACATTATGAGTCACTGTTGTCATATGTATCTGTAGATAGTTATTTTCTTCTCATCAGGTAAGCTATCATTAGTTTTCTCTTGTATTTAACCCTTTTTTATATACTCTTCTAGTCAGTATTTAAGTTTTTCTGTTCAATCTACTTTTTTGGAAACCAGCTATTGAAGCTTGCTAAGATTATGTTAAAATGGTGAGATGTCTGCAATTTGCTTGAAAATATCCATTGGCACAGTGTAGCAGGAAAGAGAAAGATAGAGGTTGGCCTTGTTCAAGCTGGGTTTCGGATATATAGCATTTGTTATTCTATTCTTTCTACTTTTATATATGTTTGGAATTTTTCGCAATAAAAGGGTTTTTTAATATTTATTTTTTAGGTGTAGATGGACACAACACAATATATTTATTTTTTTAATGTGGTGCTGAGGATCGAACCCAGGCCCCGCCCTTGCTAGGCCAGCACTCTACCACTGAGCCACAATCCCAGCCCCAATAAMAGGTTTTTTTAAAACCACTATTTAAAGAAGAACTGTATGTCAGATATTTGCAGATCTGTGCATATGTCTTCCTTTTTTTGTAAAGATTCATAGGAAATTTAGACTGAGAACTAAGGGGGGATATCCAAATCTCTTACCTTTTGACATTTTATAATTTTTGAAACCTGCATCTATTATGTTTATTTACATATGTATGCATTATGTTTTTAAAAAATGTGTCTAGTCTGGAAATAGGTTCACTTCCTAATGTGTCAATTGAAGGAACCAATAATATCTAATTTGTGGGTTGTAAGGATTATATAGTTGTGTATTTAACATTTTTGTTTATTAGGTATTTGGGATTGAACCCAGCTGTTCTTTTACCACTGAGCTACATCCCCAATCCTTTTGTTTTATTTATTTATTTATTTATTTGATTATTTATTTATTTATTTAATTTGAAGCAGAGTCTTGCTAAGGCTGGTCTTGAACTTGTGATCCTCGTACCTCAGTTTCCTGAGTTATTTTATTTTTAACAGATATTTTAGATGGATAGAAGTGGATACTGTATGAAGGGTATTATTAATAATTATAGGAAGCTGTTATTTTGGAATGAGCTCCCGCTGTAGGCTCCAACAGACCAGCCTAGAAATCAAAGTAAAATTAAATTTCATGGCCATTTTTTTGTAGAATATGTTACTGTGATTCATTTTTTTACCTTTGTTTTTTTCTGGGGTCTACTTTCTTATCCACAAGAAAAGATTTTGCTATTTTGCCTAAGAAATGCAGTTAGCAAAATTTTCAGTAGATTTTCTTTGTACTTTACACCTACATTTTTAGGATAGGTATTTTTTTAAGTCAGCAWGAAAATTCACTACAACAGGAACTTCATTAAGGTCACAATTTAGGATATGCAAATGTGAATGGTTTCTAACTTTACCCTGTACATTTCACATATATCATCCACTGTTAGACACTTTGGTCTTTCTTAATATAATTCAGTGCTGAATTTGTTTTTTAACCAGAGTTTCTAATGAATGTTTTTGTAACTTTTTTCTAATTTACAATCTTAACTTTGAGTTAATAAAAATAGTTGTCTATTCATTATGATGTGAAACTGCTAATAAGTTTAGTTTTTGTGATCTTTGGTTCCTGTATCATGAATAGTAGCTTCCATTGTTTTGTGAAGATATGCCTGAATCGAGAGAGGCCAAAATGTCTCGATTGTGAATAAAGTGGTAGAATACAAGTCAGCAGATACCATTACTAGACTCACTCTATTATTAATGTATACTATGTACAGTCATCATGCAACATGGGTATCTAACCCTTTATAAAATTGATAGTAATAAGTAATAGCCTCTACCAATAGTTAGTTTGAAAAATGTTTCATCATCTCCATGTAAGTTTATTTATTTATTCTTTTATTTAATTATTATTATTTTAGCTGCATATGGACAGCATGCCTTTATTTTATGTGGTGCTAAGGATCAAATCCAATACCTCATGCGTACTTGGCAAGCGCTCTGCCACTGAGCTACAGCCCCAGCCTCTATTTATTCATTCCTTTTGTTTGTTTCAGTACTGGGGATTGAACCCAGGGGCACACTGCCACTGAGCTACAGCCCTATCCCTTTTTAGTTTTTATTTTGAGACAGGGTCATACCAAGTTGCCCACACATCCTCAAACTTAAGATCCTCTTCCCTCAGCCTCCCTTGTGGCTGAAATTATAGACATGCACTACTGTGCCCTATTAAAAAGAAAAAAATTTAGAAGTCTTTAGTAACTCTTTGAAGTAATCTGTTATCCAGTTTTAATAGATGCTGAAATTGAGACTTAGAGGAATTAAGCCACTTAAGCGTATTCTAGCAATAAAATAAGTAATATATACTTAGAACCAGGAATTACCCTATAGTTATGACATTTGGTTATGTTCATGCCAGGATTTGTTTTTTCTTCATAAAGGACTTCTTTATAGCTGGATGCAGTGACACATGTCTATAATCCAAGCAACTTGGGGGGTTGAGGTAGGAGGATTACAAGATTGAGGCCAGCCTTGGCAATTTAGCAAGGCCCTAAGCAACTTAGCCAAGACCCTGCTTCAAATTAAAAAATAAGGCGGGGCACTGTAGTGCATGCCTGTGATCCACAATGCTGGGGAGGCTGAGGCAAGAGGCCTGAAAGTTCAAGCCAGCTTCAGCAATTTAACCAAGTTGCCCTAAGCAACTTGGTGAAACCCTCTCTCAAAATAAAAAATAAAAAAGGTGTAGGGATGTAGCTCAGTGATAAAGTGCCCCTGGGTTAAATCCCCAGTGCCAAATAAATAAGTGAATGAATGAATGAATGAATAGACTGGAGATGTAGGTCAGTGGTAGTACCCCTGAGTTCAATCCCTAGTACTTCCCAAAATAGAATTTTTTATAAATGACTGATGTTAATATCAAAAGGTATCTTGAATGTCCTTATAATATATATATATTCTGTTGCTTATTTGGGTTGTTCCTGGTAACAGATTGAACTTAGATATTTTCAGTACTTATTTCAAGTGAGTTGTTTGGACATCATTGATACTTTTCTGATTTCTTAAAATTTTGCTTTAAACCAATGTTTTATTTCAAAATAATCTTAAAATACATTAGTTAATGGTAGCTCAGTACCCTTAAGTTATATAAGTAAGACTTTTTAATTCAACACTTGAGTAACATAAATATTTCTCAATTTTCTGTCTTCTACAGAATGGTAAAGAACACTGATCATCTCTGGAAAACTTATTGATCCACCTCATGTAAAGTATGCTCAGTTCCTTTCCAGTGGTGTAAGTATGTAATCTTTCTCAATTTGTATTCTCTGAGTTGCTTTAATAAATTATTATGTTTATGATTCATATTTGACTTCAGACATTTGTAGAATATTTTAGAAGAATCAAATGGTCTGTCTACTTGATATTAAGATGAGCAAGTGTCATAATTATTTAGTAAAGAATGAATTTTCAAATCTATCAATGTTTTATCATTTGTTCAACTCTGGATTTTGACATTGTTTTAGTTGAGCATGAAATTACTTAATCATTTTTCACTGCTTAATAGCTAAGGAGATTGTGAGATAGATAACAAACTATTGAAGAGAGGTAGTGTCAAGTTCTTTGTGACAAGCAGAATGGGGGAGCATGTTACCATAATGCTGCTTTTTGTGTCCAAAATTCCATCGCCTTAGCTATTTCTCTTTAACTACATTACCATCCCCAGCAGGTAATCTGTTAGCTGATGTAGTTGTGGACTTTCTTTGGAATCAGGCAAAAAATACAAATTGAGAGGGTGGTATTGTGTTGAGTGTTTTTATGCTAGAATATGAACTGTAACCACCAGTTCATATTAAATAGCCCTCTAAATAAAAGTATTCCGGGAATTTCAGATATTAGGAGAAGATAAAGTATCTATTAGCTCATTAAGATCATGTTTAGAGTCTAATGCAGAGTGCCTTTAGCATAAGTATTTTCTAAAATTTGGTGGAGTCTGTCTTTCACTTAAATTTCTTCCGTTTTGGTTGAAAGTTCTATAATCCAATAAATAGACATTAAGATAGGTTTTCCTTGTTATTAAGGTTTTTCATTAAAGTTTTTCTCATCTCATTGATTGTATGATTTAGTGAAAAGTCTCTGAAATACATTTAGAGGATGTGAACTGTAGCCTAAGTTTCTGTTAAATAGCTATAGCCTTGGGAAGACACTTCATCTTTTGGGGCCTTGGTTTCCCCTTTTTRATCATTTATTTACTTATAGCTATTCTCAATAGCCATTATCAATGACATCCTGAGGGCAAAAATTTTTGCCTGATTTGTTCATTGTAGCATCCTTTGTGATTCATATAGGGTCTTAACACATAGTAGGTACTCAATGAATATTAATTGAATGAATGATTTTTTTTCTAAATGATCTCCAGTTCTCTGATTCTAAACCCAATATATGTCTTCCTCTAAACTTTCTTGTTTCTACTTGAATTTTGTTGGATGTGATAGAAGATGATAAAAAGTYACACAATTATTAACATACAAAGATTTTTTTTCAGGTTCACAATTCTTAAGTAGGGGGAGAATAATACAAGCAAATCTTACGAGGAACACAATTGGTAGATGAGGTACATTTAATTTCATAGTTCCAAAATTATTCAAATATGGTTGCTCAGTTAGGCTAGAAGTTGGCTTTTGTGTGAAGTCTAAGACGGAGAAATGGTTCTTGGCTAGACCACCACAGTGGATGCCTTGTAAGACACRAAGACACATAAATAAAGTCACTTGATTCTAGAGGACAGTATTGGCAGGTAAAACTTCAAAGCCCAAGACTTGTCATGCCTGAGCTCTTGAAGTATTGGTTAGACCCCTAAGGTCATGTATGTTTTAAATTCTAGAAGTTGAGGTCAGTAACTCACATAAGGGGTCTGATGAGGTGTGTTGTAATATTCCTGAGAAAGAAAGGGAGGTTCCCAAGGGCAGAGGTATTGACTGCAAGTTCTCATAAAGGTCTGATAAGATTTAATATTCTCAAGGTGGGAAGAAGAGTATCTCCAAATTCTCATGTGTAGAATCTAATAGGCTGTTGCACTCTGGAACACAGAGGGAATATGTTCCCAGTTCTTATAGAAAAATAGCATATTTCATTCAGGTATCGAACTGTGTCTCAGGAATCATTTCAAGACCACATAACAGATTTTTTTTCACCAGATGTGCATTAAGATAGCTACAATTAAAAAAAAAAAACTCAGTGATAATTTAAAACCATCAAAGAATGCTTAACACGTTGGAATATAATCCTACTTCTCTCAAAGTTCTTTTATTGTGGAAAAAACATTTTTAGACCATTATCTCTAGTTAAAGCCTCTATTATGTTTTCATCAGTTCTCCTATTGATTTGAATTAAAGAATCATTTTTACTATACTCTTAAGCTCAGTTCCAAATAGAACTTCATTTCTTACTTGTTCTCAGTTGTCATTTTCTTATTTTAAAATTGCTGTTCCTTTGATTGCAGTATTATTGAGAAAGAAGGCACTGTTCCCGTAGTGAGTTAGGTTTGAGTACATCTTTAGCTGATAAATATTATTATTGACTCTACCATGTATTAAATCATCTTGCAGTAAACACCACATGTGCAAAACAAAACTTATTTTGCCTAATCATTCCAGATAAAAAGATAGAAACATCAGAATCCAGCTGAAGAAGATACTTTGTGTTTTAAATAAAGATCCAGTCAAATCCTATTAACTGTAGATGTTAGTAAGGTAGTAATGTCATTTTTACGYGTGTGATTTCAAGGTTAATCATTCATGAAGGCTTTAACCTTCTTTGCTTTACATGTTTGTAGACTTGAGTTTATAAAAGGATGTTCTGGACTTCATGCCCAGTCAAGAAGGGTATAGGTATATATTCAAATGATGATATAATTTATTGCAAAATACTTCATTGTTATGGTCTCATGATTATGGTCTTTTCCTGAAATGTTAGTTTATGAACCAAGCATAATTCCCTAATTTAATTGTTCTTTTGTATTTTAAACATTGTCTCTTATTATAGTGTTTAAATTCTTCTCACATTATTATTATTAGTGGTCTGTGTCTGCATACAGATTAGTAATTTAAAGTGAAAAATGTCCCTCATTCTTTGAACAATCCTTGTACATAAGGAAATTAATTCAATTCTTAAATGTTATCTATTTGTTATAAAAGAATTGCTGGTATCATGTATTTAGATGACCTTTATAGGTCATTTAATTTGATGATTATGTGTTTAAACTAGGTAACTTATGATAAATAAGTGTGAAAATATCATAATGTTTGCCTTTGTTTATGTTAATGCATATTGGGGTATTCTCAATATCTAAGAATACTTTTGATATTGGTGTTTTTCTCATAAAATACTGTATCTTTGGTGTCAAATGCGTGATTTGATTATGCTCATTTTACCCTTGGCATTCTAACTCTATGGTGATCATCCATTCCCTTCTAACATCTATTGGTCTTTTTGCTTTAGCTATATCTTTGCATTATAGTCTTCTCTTGGTAAAAGTTATAGATATTTTATTTAAACAAGGTAAAGCATAAAGGGAAATTTATTCTCTCCCATAATAAAGCAGCAATGAGAGCAGTAATGTTTGAGACTTAGTAATTGCTGGAACAAAAGACAGGAACACTGCAGAGCTTTTTTCCATTGTTCTCTGCGTTTCTTGGTATGTCTACTTTATTATTCCACAAACTAGCTTCCTATGCATGGTAAAGAGTTCACCAGACTAGCATCTTTCTGTAACYAAGCACAGTTATAGTGACTACCCTTCTTATCCCCAGTTTTATTAGAAATTTTTAAGGAGAGTAAGCCTTGGTCTCTTTATCAAGCTCACCCTATTGTGAGTAGCATCCCCAAGAATATGTGTTTGGAAATAGCTAGATGTTCTAGGCAAACAAAATAATAAGTGCCTGCTGTTTCTTTCTTTTTGTGACCTCTGAAATAAAAGTGGTTTCTAATTGTAAATGAATGCCGAATAATAGAAAATATTACATAGTTTTGGCTGAGTGCAGTGGTATATGCCTTTAATCCCATGAATTGGAAGTCTGAGGATGGAGAATCACAAGTTAGAGGCTAGTCTGGGCAACTTAGTGAGACCTTGTCTCAAAATAAAAAAGGGTGAGGGTATAGCTTAGTGGTAGAGCACACCTCCGTTCAGCCCCTAATAACTGACACATGTACACATAGTATATAATGATAGTTTCAAATACTGTGAAAGATAGCCCTGACAGTTCTGCTTCATGTGTTGGGGTGGATGGATGCTTTTCAGTAATAGGTGAAAGTCACATAATTTACTTTTGTTTTATGCTAATACACAAACAGGGCAAGATTTAAAGAATTAGAAACAAATTGCTATGTGCTCTAGTATAAATAGAATTGAAAAATATCATGATTGATCTTTTTTGTCCATACAATAAAATATTTCTTGAAGTCACAAATCTAAAGATTAGCTTATGAAATATTTTGATAGGATGATGAATGAAGGTAGCAAGAGAATGGTTCTTTCTTCTTTTTCGTCCTCCTCTTCCTTCCTTCCTCCCCTCTACTTCTCCTCCTATTTTCATCTTCCTCCTCCTTCTTCCTGCCCTCCCCCACCCCTGGTACTAAGAATTGAAACCAGGGTGCTCTACCACTAACTGAAATTTTCAGCCCTTTTTTTTTTTTTTTTTTTTTTTTTTGAGACAGGATCTTGTTAAGTTGCCCAGGCTGGGCTTAAATTTGAGGTTATCCTCTGTTGACCTGAGTAACTGGAATTCTAGACATGTGCCACCGTGCCAGGCTGTCTGTCTGATTTTCTGGGGGTAAAGAATGATGTATATGAACCAAAATTTACCCAGAAAATAAATTAAGGGTAAATTATTTGGATTTGGCAGCTTCTTTGAGAAAGAACTGCCTAGAATTATTATCTTGCTGAGCACTTGATAGAGTAGATTAAGTGCTGAGGATTTAAACAGAAACTAAAGTGTGAAATGTCTCTTATATCTCTTATACACTGTTAGGAAAATATTCACATAGCTTTTTCAAGAGATTTAACATTTAAGTATAATATACTACTGAAGTGCACAAACTAGTAGTATCCAACTTGGATGAATTTTTTAAGATAACACATGTGTGTGTCAATGAAGATACTTGAATACTACCAACCCTACATAATATTTATAATTTATAAGAGATTGTGTGAATTAAACAAGGTTTTTAGATCTCTTTTTTGGGAATGGGTATCCGGGATTGAATCAGGCACTTGACCACTGAGCTATAATCCCCAGCCCTATTTTATATTTTATTTAGAGACATGGTCTCGCTGAGTTGCTTTGTACCTTGTTGTTGCTGAGGCTGGCTTTGGACTTTAGATCCTGCCTCAGGCTCCCAGAGCTGCTGGGATTACAGGTGTGCACCACCATGCCCAGATGGTTTATAGATGTTTTGAAATTGAAAAGGTTAATGAATCATTCTGGTCAAAAGTTTTTTCTCCCAATGAGATAATGATATATTTTGGCAGAGAAGCTAAAAAGAAAATGAATAAAATACACTTACAATAACCAAAGCATTTAGAATAGCTAACAACTGGAAAAAACCCAAGTGCCTATCAGTATAATGGATAAAGAAACAGGTGGTCTAGTCCTACAGTGAAACATTACTCAGCAATGAAAAGGAACAAGCTGCTGATACATCATCATCATTAGTGAATCTCAAAATATCTAAACTTAATGAAAGTGGCTTAACACGTAAGATTAAATAGAGAGTAGAAATGAGATTTTAAAACAGGGAAAAGTAATCCATGTTGGAAGAAGAAACACCCCGAAGAGTGGTTGCCTCCAAGGAAAAAAGATAGGGCTTGTCTGAGGAGGTGCTTGAGGAAATTTCCTGAGGTGATAGTATGATGTGAAAGTATGATATAGGCAGGTGTGTGTACTTCTCAAAACTCTAGGATAGTAAAACATAGATTGATATACTTTCTTTTTTTTTTTTTTTTTTGTACAGGGGATGGATTGTACTTAAGGGTGCTTGACCACTGAGCCACATCCCCAGTCCTATTTTGTATTTTATTTATTCACTAAGTTGCTTAGCACCTTGCTATCGCTGAAGCTGGCTTTGAACTCGTGATCTTCCTGCCTCACCCTCCTGAGTTGCTGGGATTAGAAGTGTGCACCACCACACCAGGCAGATAAACTTTTTTTTTTTTAATGTAAATTTTACCTCAAGAGGAAAAAGTCACCTGAACAGAGACTAAGCTCAAATTGATGATGTACATGCTGTAGAGACGTCTGTAACTAATTTTGAAATGCATTCAGAAACTCAATGAATTGGATGATGTATGGATAAAGGACTGGATGTACATAAAATGATGCAAATGTCGAAAAAGAGAATGGTCATATCTAGGTCTTTAGTGTGTGGGCGTTAACTGTAAAGTTATTTTTAACCTTTTTATATATTTAAAAATTTCATTATAAAATATTGGAGGAGAAACCTAGGCAATCAAGAAAGAATATAGTAATCATGAAAATAGGTTTGGGGTTTTTATTTTTATTTTTTTATTAGTTGCTCAAGACAATGATCTTGACATATCATACATTTGATTCAAATAGAGTATGAATTCTCATTTTTCCACTTGTACAGATTGCAGGATCACATTGGTTATAGAGCCATGTATATACACACAGCAATATTAGTGTCTGTTGTATTTTGCTGCCCTCCCTATCCCCCCCCTCCCCTCCTCTCCCCTCCCATCACCTCTCTCTACCCAATCTACTGTGATACTTTTCTCTCTCTCTTTTTTTCCCCTTCCCCCTCACACCATCCTATATGTATTTTGTGTAATCATGAGGGTCTCCTTCCATCTTCTGTGCAATTCCCCTTCTCCCTTCCATTCCTTCCCACTTCTCTTCCCTGTTTAGTGGTAATCTTCTTCTCATGCTCTTCCTCCCTACTCTGCTTTGAGTCACCTCCCTTATATCAGAGAAGACATTTGGCATTTGTTTTTTAGGGATTAGTTAACTTCATGATAGTTTGTCACAAGTAAGTTCTGGAAGAAAGCAGACCATAATATGTATAGGGGCAAGGCAGATATTGTGCCTACAGACACAAATGAACTACAGCATATTAATTTCTATCCATACAATGTACGTTTGTTTTTAATTATTAATAAGCCTGGTTTAAAAATTATGGAGACTTAATATAAAAGTTCTAGATTCCTGCCAGCTTAAATTTTGTATATGATAAAAGTGGTCTTTCAGATCAGAAAAGAAGCACGTTCTTCAGTAAAGCATATTGGACAATAATTCATTTACAATGAAATAAAGCCCAAATCCTTTCACATTGATTAAGTAAATATAAATTCTAGATGGAACAAAGATCTCTAAGTTATTTTTATTGGTACATTATAATTATCCATAATGGTGGAATTTATTGTTAYATATTTATACATGCACACAATATAACAGTTTGATGGAACAATAGATTTTAATTATAAAATCTATTACTAGAACCCCCTAGTACCTCAGTAATTAGAGTGATTTTATCTAAATGGTGTTTAACTAGAGACTCAAAGGAATATAGTAATCTTTATCCAGAATCCTTTGATTCTAATAAGTCCTACTGTATATTGAAAAGTAAAGAGATTTATGCTTTTGTCAGTAAGACATAGGCTTAAATTATTTTTCTATTTTTTATCCAGAGTTTTTGGAAGGTACAAAAGTACTCTGAACTTTAATTTCCTAATGTTTTGCCATGGCAAAAATATTCTAGCATGGGCCATCTCTTATTATTTTCCATAAAGAAGTTGATATAGAGATAATAATTCTTCTGCTCTGCATTATCTATAATGATGTGTTGTTTGGTAGATATTGTCAATTTWAAAAAAAACTTATTTATTTATTTTTATTTTTTAGTTTGCTGGAAACCATGTCTCACTATACAGATGAACCCAGATTTACCATAGAACAGATAGATCTGCTTCAGCGCCTTCGGCGTACTGGAATGACTAAACATGAAATTCTCCATGCCTTGGAGACTTTGGACCGTCTTGATCAAGAGCATAGTGACAAGTTTGGAAGAAGGTCCAGTTATGGAGGAAGTTCATATGGGAACAGTACCAACAATGTTCCAGCATCTTCCTCTACAGCTACAGCCTCTACACAGACCCAGCATTCGGGAATGTCCCCATCACCTAGCAACAGTTACGATACCTCCCCACAGCCTTGTACTACCAATCAAAATGGGAGGGAGAATAATGAGCGATTGTCTACATCCAATGGGAAGATGTCACCAACTCGCTATCATGCAAACAGCATGGGTCAGAGGTCATATAGTTTTGAAGCCTCAGAAGAGGACCTAGATGTAGATGATAAAGTGGAAGAATTAATGAGGTTAGTTACTTTGCTTATTAAGACTCCAAGAATGTCTGTGTTCTTAGATTATTTTTTAAGTAATAACTGTATTTCAGTTACTTAACTATAATAACTGATATTTTTCACTCCTTTCTTTGGATATGAAAGAAACTGTATTCAAATATTATGATTTTCACTTCTCTACTTTAGCAGTACCCCTCCCTTTTTTTTTTTTTTTTTTTTGCTAGTTGATGAACCTTTTTCATTCTTTCTGTTTATCAAAGGTTAGTTTTCTCTTTGTGGCTCTAACAGCTAATTTCTGTCTAACAAAAGTTAGTTTAATCCTTTACTGTATTGTAAGTGCTTTTTCTGAGGAATAAGATAATTTTATTTGATACTGAATATGTACACTCTTCATTTTTTCCTSTAACATTCGAAGCCACAAAATAATTTAAGCATCTGTTTGACAAGAAGTAATTTTTAGTGGAACTACCATGCACTCATAAAAAGATAACAAAAAAACACATAATTTTTAGGAAGATTGGCACTATTTTTGCCTGAAAGAACCTTAAGTTCTAATTTTAGCAACAGATGCATGCACACGCAAACACACACACACACACACACACATACACACAATTACAAGTTAAGTATGAACACTGAGAATTTTAAACTTCGAGATGCCCACCTTGAACAGAGGTAATAAAGAAAGGTGTCACACGAGACACTGGGTCATTTTGAGGATGGCACTGTGTATTTTCCATTGCTATCTGTGGCCTTAGCCTAGAATTTTCTTAGCACATGTTAAGTGCCTTATATGATTGAATGAATTTGACCTCAACCTTAAAGGATAGCCACTGTTTTAAAAGATGAAAACTTTATTTAAAAAATAAATAAAACCATATTTAATGTTAAGGGATTAATATGATACCAGAAAAGATAAGATATATCTTTAGTCTGATAATGATTATAGATGCAGAAGCTTATTTCTTGCTTTTATAATTATGTCAAAATGAATCCTACTGTTACATGTAACTAAAAAGAACCAATAAAAAGAAAAAAAGAACTCCAGATGCAGTCTACCACTAAGCCACATCCCCAACCCTAGCTGCTGCTTTCGAATGTAATACATGWATTGTTAAGATTACAAAGGAGAATTGTTTGGGCATATATAGTAAGATGAACTTTTGAAATATAATAAGATGAACTTTTAATTTTCCTGAGTAGAGAAGATGTCAACAATAAAATTAATTTTTTAGGTTTTAGTCTGTTTTTGTTGTTGCTGTTACTTATTTTTTATAAGCTTTCAATATAACAGTTAATTCCCAAATATGTATTATAGTAACAAGAAATATGGGCCACTGTCTTAAAAAGGAAATACTGTAAAAGATGGGACAGTCTAATAAAGATCTAAAACCTTGACTTTTAACTCATAGTTTGACATAATACTTCATTTCAACTTCTTTATATCACAAATAAACAAAACCTGTTAAAAACAACTGGAATTTATAGTTAAATCGCACATTACACGTGTTTGAGTTCCATCATTAAATATTATACATTATAATTGGTATTTAACTTGCATACTGTCACTTGTTGCATAATTAGAATACTCTCTTGCTTGAGTGAGATACTATMTTTCCTTTTTTTCTGCTTCCTTCCTAGAACTGCTTTTTTGGTGTCCTTTACTCATATAGGGGGTCTCCTTGGATCTCCTGGCATCCTCTGGACCTCTGCCATTCTCCCTTCCTCCAGTGTGGGTCCCTGCTTCTTTGCTCAAGTTTATAGAAGATAATCATAAAAATTAAATAATTTACCCAAAAAACCTTAGATATTATGTAACAGAGCCTGAATTATAACTCCATGTTTTTATTATCAATATTTTGCTGGTATATGTTGCTACTGTAAATAGATTTTATAGATTTTAATAAGACTTTAGGAAAAGTAGTTTATATAACTGGAGACACAGCCTTACTGGGCTTGCCATTCCCCTTCCCAACATGATATTTATCACTTCAGATCAATCACTTATTTACCAGATGAATTTTTATTGCTGGAATGTTAGAAATTTTTTTGAACAATATATCTTTGAGTATTCCTTGTCTGCCTAGGTACGTACTGCCCTTGCTGATCACTCAGCACTGGTGACATTACAAATGCCTTCCTGCCTTCATTTTTATGTATAAAATCCACCTTTCGCTGGTTCACATTGAGAAAACTCTAGGCTAGATGCATTTTCCAAATCTCATAATCCACTGAGTCTATACTGGATTATAATTTCAAGGTACACAGTGGAGATAGAATGGCATCAAGTTATAATTGTATACCTGAACAACTTGTTAAGAAAGGGTCAGAAAGAAAAAAAAATGGCTACTTTTCCCATTTTTTTAATTAGGGTAGGGAATAAAAAGGCAAACTAGCATGTGAATTTTAATTAACTGGTGAATATGACATTTTAGGAAAGACTTTAAAACCAAGAATGATAGCTCATTTCACATTTAATGTCTTTTTAAAAGTATATCTATTAGTATATGAATATACATAGGAGTGTGTGTCTACATCTGCTAATAGTATGCATCTACTAATGTTTATTTGCTAATTATATATGCATCATGAAATAACAATTTAAATAGGCTCATCAGAATTAATGAATAATGGCACATGTTAAGGATGTTATTCTTAGCACCCATGTACTAAATCTTATGAGTGTGTTAGTATTTTATAGAAAATATGAGACTCTCTTAAAAGTTGATTGCCTGTAGGATTGAGCATCCTTAATTAATAAAACTGAAATCTGAAATGCTTGAAAATTAAAAACTTTCTGAGCCACTAATATAATATAGGTAGAAAGTTTCACAACATTATTAATGCACACAGTTATTTTAAAATATTACATAAAATTGCAGACTATGTGCATGAGGTATACATGAAACATAAATGAATTTTCTGGTTACACTTTGGTCCTATCCCCAAGATATCTCATTTCCTATGTATATGCAAATATTTCAGAATCTAAAAACACCAAAAATCTAAAAAGTTTCTGTTGCCATGCATTCAGGATAAGGGATTCTCAGTCTATATTTACTTGTGTAGGTAAGATATTATATGTTTTATAGGTAATAAGATGAAATGGTCATGAAATACAATTAACATGTTGGTTATTCACATATTRTAGCTTTTCTTTTAGTGTATTTTTTGTTTTGTTTTTGTTGTTTATTTGTTTGTGTTTTTTATTTTCAGTACTGGGAATTGAACCCCCCAGGGATGCTTTACCACTTACCACTGCGCTACRTGTACCCCATCCTTTTAAAAAAAATTTCTGGGAAAAGGTCTTGCTAAGTTTCTAAGGCTGGTCTTAAACTTGTAGTTCTTCTGCCTTATCTTCATGAGTCACTGGGATTACAGTTATGTGCCTCCACACCTGGTTTGTGTTATTTTAAGTTTTAATGTTATGCTTCGTATGTCTTCATGGGTGGAAATTTATATAAGTTTTAATTCAAATGTGAAGGACATTAGTATGCAAGTGTGAAATAGACGGTCTTAGTACTCTGCTTCATCTATGGGTATCTATGATATAGATAAATATTTTTAAGAAATCTAAAGAATGCTCAATCTATGTTAAMAGAATATGAAAGGCCTTAAAGTACACCATTTTAAAATGTGTCATCTTTAATATGTTTTGTTCCAGAAAATGAAGCAATGTCATTTGAAGCAACCATAAATAACTCTTTTTCATCCTGATTTGGGGAACTTAAACATACCTGAGAATAAGAATAGATCAGGTTTCCCATTTTACAGCCTTTTACAAACACACCCCCCCTCGGTTGTAGATAGACAAAATACCTTTATTTTGTTTATATATTTTTATGTGGTGCTGAGGATCAAACTCTGTCTCTCACCTACCAGTGAACTACAACCTCAGCCCTTAACTTTTTATCTCTTAACTACAGATTTGTTCACTCATTTCATGAATTAAGTTTTATGTTATGTAAACCTCATGATGAATGAGACACAATCTTTGTGCTAAGGGATTTTACAGGGTAGTAGGAGAGATAARATTAGAAACAACTATAATATAGGATAACATGTAATATATTAGCATGTGAGTAGTATAATTGAATTGTTAAGTTTAGCCATTACAAAGAAATCTTTTTCTTAGCTTGAGGATGAGGGAGAACTTCTCTAAACAATTGACATTTAAATTGTGTCTTTTAAAAAATGGTGATTTGATAAAGATGTATTGCTGTGAATTCCTTCAGATAGCAGGTTAACATGGAAACTTTAGCAAGTTATAAAAATAAAGACATGTCTGTAACTCCAGTGGCTTGGAAGGCTAAGGCAGAAGGATTGCAAGTTTAAAGCTAGCCTCAGCAATTTAGTGAGGGATTAAGCAATTTAGCGAAAACCTGTCTCAAAATATAAAGATATAAAGGGCTGGGGATGTGGCTCATTGGTTAAGTGCCCCTGGGTACCAAAAAATAAACAAATACACACACACATACATACATACATGCACACATGCAGTAGAGGGTGGAAAGGGAGAAATTTCATCCTTATGTGGAACTCACCCAGATGAATCTAACATAACAGTGATTTGAAGAAAATAGTCATGGTGATGACCTGAATTTCAAGTGGTTAGAAGCAAATCAAGCAGTAGCTTATCTTGGAAGTAAGCTGTCAAATCAAAGATCAGCCTACTCTTCACTTTAGTTCACTAAGACTTTAAGAGTTTGAGATTTTATAAGAGAAAGGAAGTAGAAGGGATTCGTTCTCTTTAGAGAATATGTCAAATTTCAGATGAAGAGAGGAAGTAAGGAGTAGAAGTCAAGAGATTAGATTTGGAGTAAATGAAGTTTTCTTATTAGCAAACTGGTGATTTTCTCAGAACACAATGAGGACAAGAACAGAGGCAGGTTGTTAGAAGGCTGCAAATGAAGAGAGAATGAAGGGGATATATGAAAGTTTAAATATCAAAGCAAGTCCAGTAGAATAGAACTCTTTTAATACTTAAGAGATTTTTGGCACAGTGAAAGTTGAATAGTGTTATTATTTTGAAAATACATTTAGTAAAGCCAAATAAATAAAAGAGTTATAGAACTCTTCCCATGGTGCCTTAGAGTATCTTGTACAGATATTTACTTCAATATTTTTATGATTATAGGAGATCATTAGTTTCATCTTTTCTTAGAGTCCTGCCTGAAGTTTTACAAAWTAATAGTCAATGTTTATTATAGCACTTGTATAATTTCACAATTTTTTACATTGAATATATATAAAACACATGCATGTATAAATAYCTAATATTATTCAGTATTTCATTTCTTAGACAAAAATTTTCAAGCCCTTTGAAGGGTTTATTAATGTTCTTGTTTTACCTGATGATGAAACCAAGGTGTCTACATATACCTGTGTTTATTTTGTTTTGTTTTATTTGTGGGGATGGTGGGGATTGAACCCAGGGCCTTAAGCCTGGTAGTTAAACATTTCACATTTCAGTCACTGAACTAGAAGACTAGGCCACCCTGCTACTCCCCGTGTATCTTTTTTTTTTTTTTTTAAATGCTAGAAATTGAACTCAGTGTCTTACTCAGCAAGCACTCTACCACCGTGCTATGCCCCAGCACTCCCTCCTCACCCAAACTTTAGTTTTAGGTTTTTCCTTCAAGAAAGCTGCTGTCTGGTAAAGACAGTAAAAAACTTTGTTTTGTTTTATTGGGGAAGTGTATGTGTGTGTGTTTATGTGTGTATGTGTTTTAACTCATGAATACTTTAGAAACTTGCAGAATATTGAAGAATATGGACAATGAGATGTCTGTGAATTGCTGTTTTGTGACTTTGGGGATTTCTTCATTCTTGAATAATTCACAAACTGGATATTCCCTATTGGAATAATTCAGTGTCATCTGTTCTGTATGATTTAGTGTCTGCTCTAGGTGAATTTGATTTAAAATAAACATTTAAATTTTTAATTTAACTCAGTTGTCAAGAAAATACTATTAACTCATTTTTCCCATAAAAGCAATTTTTTTTTCATTTAACCTGAATAACTATTCTCCTAAATTTGGTTTTGTTTTCATAGAAGAAAATTTTTAAAACTAATTTTTTGTTATTTCAGACACTATATGTTTGGTTGTTTTATATACATAAGTCAATTGGAATACATAGTGCAAAAGTTATCCCTTGCTCAACTAATTATATACACACAAGCATTTGGGGAAGAACCTAGCCAGTATCTGCATCAGAATCAAAATCACTATGAGAAATTTTAAATACTGTTATTAGGCAGCTGATTATTTTCTTCCTTTAGGAATCTTTGGTTAGGATTTCTAGCCAATAGATTAAAAATATCACCACTGATTATTTTCGCATAAGAAATTTTCTTGAGTTTCTCCAAMTAATCTACAGGAAGATTCAAACCCCTTTAAAGAGTTTGTGATTCATACAGGAAACAACGTGTAAACATTGTGTGATAGATACCCTTTAACTCAGATCAAAGGTCAGCAAAGTTTAGAATCAGTTATTGTTATCATTTAGACTTGTGGCCAAAAGACAAAATTTAGGCTATAGTGTGGATACTTATATACAAGAGAAGAAGAATATGGCCAGAAATATTTATTGATAAATATCAATATATAATAATAAGTGAATACAATTTTAAAACTGCAGGATCACTAATAGGAAGAATGAAATGAGGGAAGGAGATAATATTTTGCTCAAAATAATTGCAAATGTTCATCTGAGAAAATAACTCTTAGGTCATAGGTTATGTAAGAACAAATGGCAGACCAGATTCAGCTTATGGGCCGTAATTTGCTGACTCCTTTATTAGATAATAACTTAMCACTATCTGTGTTACTTTGAGCTTGAACAAAAATCAGGCCTGTACTTTTGTAATCTTATGGAAGATAAGGCATTCAAAGAGAAATTGGTCAGTTCTAAGGGTTACATATGCTTGTATTTAGGTATTCTGTTTGTTCTAGTGGAGAAACAGAAGTCTTGCCTTTCCTTGTCTTTCTTATAAAAGTCTGGTCTTTTGAGAATTTGTTGAATTTTTAAGGAAATAAAAATTTGTAATAGGCATTTTAATAAAGGAAAAAATAGGTCTAGAATATATACTCCTACGAACAAAGTGTAGTTTTTATTAATACGTACTTTTTCGGCAGTAAAGTTTAATATTCCACCTATCCCATTAATTTTTTTATACAACAAAAACAAGGGAAAGCCTTTCTTAAAATGGCTGGTATTTTCACCTGTGAGAAAGATAACAGTTTCTTCCTTAATCATTTTAAAGATTTTTAAGAGAACACTGTGCGCACAGTTGCTTAATTRATATACAGACTCGTAGTCTATTCACGACTAATTTTTCCTGTTGCTTTTCATTTTTCTGGAATTTCTGTGTAAGATATATTCACTTACCAGTAAAAAAAACTTCATAAATACTATGTGACAGCCCTGTTTCTAATGTGAGTTATATACAGCATGCATGAGATGAAACATATCTGATATTAGACTGATGTTTCCAGTGGCATTCAGTAAAGTGTCTGTCTGATGTTGTGATGTTTAAGCACTCAAATATTTGGTGTTCTTGGTTTGTTGTAATTTCATATTTTCACACAAGTTTGGTCTGTTTACCTTTTTTATTTTTGTGTCCTTTCTTTCTGTGTTCTCCCCTCCTCTCTGCTTCACCTTTCTTTTAGCAAAGTTGAGGATTTCTACCTTCAACATACATTGTTGGTCTTGTCTTCTGTTTTTGTTAGGAGGGACAGCAGTGTGATAAAAGAGGAAATCAAAGCCTTTCTTGCCAATCGGAGGATTTCCCAAGCAGTTGTTGCACAGGTAACAGGTAAGAGCTGAAGAGCCCTTTATTCTGAAATTATGTCTTGTCTCTGCCTTCTGTGCAGATGTTATTTGCATTTCTGCATTGCAGTGCAGATTTGTCAACTTAGGCATAATAATGTATGCCTATGATTTAAAACCTTTGTCTCTGTTATCACAGAACTTCTCCAGTGATTCTTTTTTTTTTTCACATGTGCTAGTAAGTTTTATAGCATTTGTAATAAGCAAAAAATTCGCTATGTTATGGCTAAAAATAGGTTTCTCTAGTTTTAATTGTAACAGAGCTTATGACACATGCACATCCAAATGCTAGCTCCATTTATATTTATAAAAGCTTTGGAGTCCTCCAAATTGAGTTCCTTATTGTACCAGTTAAAGAGTGATTTGTGAGGGCAAAGAAGCTATGGGGATTTTGTAACCACTTTTCTGTGTGTGAAAGCTTTCCTCAAACCATTATTGAGAAGATGTGTTACCATTGTCTTCTCTTTGTTATTTATATCCCATCCCATTCTCCACCCTCACCCAAAACCCATCTTTAATATGTGGTGTATATGTGTCATTCTCTATTCAGATTGCATTTTTTATAAAGTTCTTAAATTTGGTCTTAGCATGTCTTTGTTGGTATGTGGTCTTTTTCTTGCATTTCAGTGATTTATAAGAATCTAAATTATTGGAGGAACCAAAAACTCTTTCAGCTACATTTTGTAGTTTCAGTGTTGTATGTTTGACATTAGTAAACTTAAAATTGATTTACCCTCTTTTTTTTTTAACACAACACCAGGAACCTATGTGACTTTAGACTTTTCATTCTCTGTGCCACAATTTTCTTTATGAAATTCTGTGTTTCTATAATGAAAAACCTGGATCTGATCTTCAGTGGTATCTTTCAATTTTAAGATAGTCTTTCTCTTCTGAGACATTGATATGTATTGAAACTAATTTACTTAGAAGGCTGTTACTGAGTATTAATTTGGTTAAAAACAAAATTTAAGATTTAGGATTTTTAACTTTCATTTCAAATATCAAATATCGAAGTTCAGCTAGATGTGGGAGTAATATATTATTATAATAGTGATATATTTTTGTAAATGACATGTCTCTCTTCTTGGTGAGAGTTTTAAGACATGCCCTTCCATATAGAAGTTGTGGAGGGGGGCAGGTACTAGGGACTTAATCCAGGGTACTCTATCCCTGAGTTATACCCCTAGCCCTTTTATATTGTTCTTTTAAGACAGGGTATCCCTAAGTTGTAGAGGCTGGCCTTGARCTAGGATTCTCTTGCCTCGGCCTCCCAATTGGCTGAGACTATAGACATGAGCTACTACTCCTAGCCCATTTAGAAGTCTTAAACCCAAGGAGGGGTGTGAATTTAATTATTATCTTTAGGTGTTTATCAATGGGTTATTTTAAATTCTTAATCTTTATCTTCAAGCACTGAGTCATGGTGCTTACTACAGTATAGTATAAGGGCAAGTTACACAGATTTTATTGAAACTCACTGATGTGACAGGCTATGAATAGATGGAATTTTGTCCTTTTGCACTTTTAATTCAGCCTTCATGACTGGAAGCAATAGTATATTCTAGTTTATAATACTTTAAAAAAAGACAAAATTGTAGTACATCATTACAAAGTTGATATTGTTCAGGTAGAAATATTTCTGAATGTGTTATATACACTGAACCTTTAATCATCTTGGGCTTTTATAATAGTGGCTTTGAAACCCATCCAACATTGATGCAAATCATAGTAAGATTCCTTTAGAAAGTGTTTCTCAGGCACATCTAAAAGCACTAGATATACCATAATGGGCTAAACATGGTACATCAAATATTGCCATTTTGGATAAGAAACTGAAAGATGTCTTCATATCTTGCTTCTCAAAATATAGACCATGAAACCGCTGTGTTGAGATCACCTGGGAGTTTCTTAGAAATGTAAAAATACATAAGTACCACTTTAAACCTACTGAGAACAATTTAACCACATCTCCAAGTAATTTAGGTTTGAGAAATAATATTCTAGTGTAAAGGTCCGGTGAACGTTGGAGGAAGAGACCACCAAGAGACTGGCTCATGCAATCAGCAAAAGGGGATTTGTTGAGAATCCAGCATGCTGGGGCTCCGTGCTCACTCAAGAAGGGAGAGCAGCCCAGAGCCCAGAGTAGAGGTTAAGAAGTGCTTAAGTACACTTTTTGGGTAGGGCGGGGGCTTTGCATACACCAGTACAAATCATCATGAGACGCGGGAAAATTGAACAACAACTCTCATAGATGATTAGCACATTCATTGGCGGGAACAGGTCGGGCTGGAGTGATAGGTCATTCCTAAGGAGGGGATACATTCAAACTGATTGGTTCAGGCCCTGAATGCCTACTTGCCAAACTGACAGGGTCCTAGGTTATTAAACAACTAAGTGGTCAGTACCGGGCATTGTCCTAACTGCCTCAGGAATTTCAGGTTCTGTGTGCAGTTCAGAAACTTTACAATACCTAGTCCTTTACATTTTAACTCAGGCTTTGCAGCTTAGAAACTTTACCCTTTCACTAGGAGACTAGTAAACATTCCTGACATTAACTTCAGTGGGTTGACATTGTTTAACATTACATCATTCAGTAGTATGCCAGCTCTTGTTTTTGAAAGCAAGAGTTAAAATACATATTTAGACAGTTATCATCTGTTACATAGCACATGGACCTTCCTTTTGCTCCCATAATTGTGGAACTCTGTAGTGTTAAAAAGTCTTCCCTCATTTCAGCATCACCCCAACTTGTTCTTCCTTTTCATTTCTACTCCAAAAACTTCGGTTGGGATCATCCTTCCTCAGGCACATATCTTTAGTGATTCTCCACTAAGAGTCTAAAAAAAATTCCATGTAATACAACTCTAGYTTCCTTTCCTTCATCTTCTATTCAGCATACCCTCTAACCATATTCAGCAAAACTCCTGTAGTTTCCAGAACTCTGCTCAGGTGTATGCTTTTACATTCTTGGTTGTTACCTAGGAGGCCTTTTACCTCCTCATCACATCCTTATCAATCTCCATTTTTCAAGATTATCTCAGCTGTTATCTTCTTGTTGTTATCATGTATTCTGAATTTCCCTGCCCTAAGTGTTAGTGCTCATTTTAGTTACCATTTTAGAGGAGTGGTCTTCAAAGGCAGTGACCTTTTCCTACACATGCCCAGAAGCTAGCATTGAACAGGCATTCTGAACATTTCCTGTTTACCTAGCTACCTTGTAGAGCTACTTTGTGATATAAAGGGATTGTTGATGATGTTAACACAAACTAAACGTGAAAAATAGTCCATTGTGACCTTTCCAAGAATAATTATTTATTTGCTTAACATGAGTTTTTGCCCATAAGAAAATTACTTTCTTTTTTTTTTTTTTAAATCTACAGAGGATCTTTGAGGAACATTGGTAACCAGACTGGCATATTTTTTTCTTTTGGCCAATTTATTTTAATTCTTTTGTTTCTACTATATTATTTATTATGTTACCTTTTTACCCAGCCTGTCAAGCCATCAAGCTAACAAACAAGGACAGAGCCGCTCTCTGAAGAGTATAGAAAGTTAGTAAGAGTCTGAATAAAGGCTGACCCTCATAATTGACATACCTAGAATAGAGAGAGCCTGGGAAATGAATCCTCAGCATCCATTGCTTACTCCCTAGAAYGCCTGAACAGTGTGTAGACACAGTTTTCTGTCTTTAAACAAATTAGTCAAGTTTATCTGAAAAGAACATCTACCCAATGAAATCTATCCCCAAAATAAAGTTTAGAATGTGATGTTCTGGAATTTTGTCCTGTAACAGATTCTCTTAAATTAAATCATTTAAGTTCAACTCTAATATGTGAAATCAACCTTGAGATAAAAATGAGAACGAATGGTGCATAACAACAACAACAACCAAAAAAAAATGCTAAAAAATGTAGTGAGGTGCAAAATTATAACACATGTGTTGTTCCAGAAACAAGTACAGAAATTTCTTATTATAGATTTGGCAGATTTCTATAATAAGATAAACAAGAAGTTCATGGGTGGGGTCTGTATAAATAATATCCTACTGATAGGAAAAATGACAGTATAAACAGGATATAATAACAGTGCCTGCTGAATTCCCAGCATGTTATTTGTAGCTTCCTTCACAGTCACAGCTGCTCCCACTGAGGGTGGACTTCTACCTCTGTAAGAGGTCGGCCAAGATTCTAAATTCTCACTAACAATGGGGGTGGGGGAATGAGCATAACCTTCACTTTAATAATAAACACATGTGTTCTATATTCACTTTCAAGGTAAAATGTTTTCTTAGGCTGTTTAAGAATTCTGAAAACATAATATTTTAAAAAATGACCTGGGAAAAATCAGGCACACAGAATAAATGAGTGAATGGACAGAGCTTGATGTGTACTTATCACCAAAGAAATGTACTAATTGGATTCATGTCCAAAAAATAAGTACGTGGAAGAAGGGAAAAACACACTTAGCAACTCTGAATTTTAAGAAATTTATCACATTTTTTTAAAAATCATAGTACTATTATGGAAAAGCCACAAAATACCAAGGTTTTAGTTTTTCTGCCATTAAATTGCCTTGTGACTAGGAGCCTCATTTTCCATACTTAAAAGATGAGGGGTGTTTTAGTCAGCYTTTTCACTGCTATGACTAAAAGATCTGACCAGAATAATTTTAAGAGGAAATTTATTTGGAGACTTAGGATTTCAAGAGGTCTCAGTCCATAGAAAGCTGGCTCTATTCCTCAGGGCACGAGATCGGGCAGAACATCATGATAGAAGAGTACATCATGTTAGAAGAGTGTAGCAGAGGGAAAGAGCTCACATGATGATCAGAAAGCAGAGAGAGACTTCACTCACCAGATAAAAATATATACCCAAAGCCACACTCCCAGTGCCCCACCTCCTCCATTACCATTCAGTTAATCCCATCAGGGATTTGTTTACTGACTGGGTTAAGGCTCTCACAACCCAATCATTCTTCTCTGAACTT